AAAAAAAAAAAAAAAAGATGTCATTCCCATGAGTTACAAGCACATTTTATTCCTTCATTCCTTGTTTTATTTAAATCATTGCATCGTTTTAGTTAAATCATGGGAATTGATTAATAAAACATGCTCAATGATTTCTTAATTCATGGCCACATTTGTATCTTCTTCAGGAATAAATGTGTTTAAAAAGGAAAGAAAATGAACAGCAAAGGATGCAGCCCGTTGAAATACATAGTGTTTCTAATTATTAAATGCAAATGTCAAATGCTTGTATTGATGACAAAAATTAAATAGGTCACTATTCTATCAGTCTTATATTATGGAAAGTAGAATATAACATACAATACAATGACATATAAACACCAGTTTAATGTTTTAAAATATACAATATTGAGAATGAATACAGTAAAAAATAAGCAAGTCTCACAGTCTTGACATGTGCTATGCTGCTTGAATTCAGCAAACTGACTAAATTACTTTTTTTTGCCATATATTAACATATAAATCACAAACATATCCTTATATGGTCACTCTTTAGTTTGGGGAACAGTTCTCACTATTAACTTTTGCCTCAATAAAGTCCTAATTTGCAGCTTATTAATAGTTAAGGTAGTTGTTAAGTTTAGGATAAAGGCATCTAGAATATGGTCAAGTAGAATAAGGCATTAAAATATGCTTTATAAGTACTAATAAACAGCCAATACGCTGGTAATATGCATGCTAATAAATAACTAGTTAATAGTGAGAACTGGCCCCTAAACTGAAGTGTTACCCATTTTTCAACATTTTCTCTTACCGTCTTGATTGTCCTAGATCAACTTTTTCATTATATTTGCTCATTGTCAGTTCTGTTTTAGTGTTTCTGATTGGTGAATTATTTTGATGATCTTTTCCATCTCGTATTATCCATTGGGGTTTCCAGTCTTTCTCTACTTTGTTGGTTTCTTCTTCATCTATTCCTGTCAATGTTACACCAAAGACATGCGACCCAGAAAAGCCTGGCTTTCGGACATGTGCTCCTGTAGCGTGAGATTGGAGATCACACAAACATACTTAACTAGGAATTTTGTGTTTGTTTGTGTCAATGGCAGATCTCCAGAAAGGATGCTGGTATATATGAAGTAGTTCTGAAGGATGACCGAGGCAAAGACACCTCCACCCTCAACCTCACTGACCAAGGTAACATAGCAGAAAAGTACTACTACTATTATAAAACGCTCTAAAATTACTTTCTTATTCTAACATGCACTCATTAGTGCTGTCATGATATATTTTACATCTAAATTGCCCCTTAACACTTGTACATTAGATCATATTTATATCAATTCAGTAGATTTTCTCCAATGATCACTGAAAAACAAAAAAGTGAAACCTATTATTGATTGTTTCTTCCTGATATTATCTGTTTTTGGCTTATCACTGATTTTCTATCATCTGTTTTCCAGGATTCAAAGACCTGATGAACCAGGTTTTCAGTGTTATTGGTAAGATTCAAACATAAATGTTTTATCAGGACATAGTAAACACATTCATATGTCCTCATAAAAATCTTCACAGTACCATATAGTTTTAGCAGTGCATGAGCGATGTTGACGTTCTTTCTGTCCAGCGAACTCCTCCACTCCACTGAAGATCCAGAGCACAGAGGAGGGCATCAGGCTTTACACCTTCGTCAGCTACTACAACGACGAGCTGCAT